CCCCTCCTCCACTTAACCAAATGTTAATGAATAAATTATATAATAAAATTGAAATTGCTTGGGAATAATAGCGCATAAATCGAAGATATATTTTACATAGGTAGATAGCGTAATTTTGCAATTTTAAACAACTTAAGGATGAAAATGACTGTTTGCTCCAAGAGGAAAGTCCCTTAAGGGTTTGATTTTCCAAATCGGTTGTTATTAACACATAGAAGGAGGGGAGGGGCAGGGGATTAACTAACAACCTACTCAGCTCCCTACAACAAATTTTTTTTAGCTGAACGAAAAAAAACGCAAAAATTTTTTTTTGCGGATTTTGAAAGCGCACAAATAGCGCAATTTATTCATTAAGATTTGATTAAGTGGGGGAGAACCAGCTAGGCAGACGTAAAAAATCTAGTTATTTCATACTACATAGTTATAAATATAGAAAATATATTTTTAATTATCTGTATATAAATTAGTCAATAACTTCATTTGTGCAAATATTCAAATATATGAATATATTATTTTAAAGATATAGAAATGCAAATAACAAGTTTCATAACTAGAAAATAAATTCTACTTGTAAAATAGTGTGTGCCTACCTTCATTGCCGATAAGAGACTGCTCTCCCGCATTCCTAACTATGGAAAGATTTATATTGTTTAATACAAAAAAGTAATAGTAATACTACTGTAGATGAATTCAAAAAGAACCTTTCATGAACAGTTAACATTTATAAAAGGAAGAAAACCAATTATTAGACTAGCAATTAAGACTACAATTGGATTGAAATTTGACAGAAAAAAAAAAAAGAAAATCGGAAGAAAGAAAACTAATATTTAATAAACTTTGCTTTGATTGGTCAAATTTCAATTCATTTCAATCTTAATATCTAGTTTGATACAGACAGAACAGCATGCTTTCACAAATGTAAAGTTACTAAAATATATACATACAATAAAGAAAAACATCCAACTAATATTTACCAGCTCCGTTATCCTGAACTAATACATTTTCAGACATTGTAATCTTTGATGATTTGGACGCTGTACGTAAGGAACTGTATAAAACGCAGCTAAACCATATTATTAGTCCAATAATGCTTTCCTTATCAAATGTAACACGATTTTGTGTATTGACATCATGACTCGAGATACCAGGGAGAAAACCAGGATTACACGCTCGATCTGTAAATTCAAGTAATAACAAATCAAGAATAAAATATGGATTGCTAAGAGCTTTCATCTCAGTAAATCATTGACATCTACCTGGGCTGTTTGATATACCGCTCCATGTTAAGTATACCACATATAATGTTACAATAGAGGACTGAAGCAGTCCAGATCGCGGTTGATGTTCTTGCACAGTCGGTAAAATTGATACAATACTGGTAATGACGCACAAAATTAAATTAAACGAAATGAAAAACTTATTTAGGGCACACTCACTTGGCTGTAAATACACAAAACAAGTGAATAATCCTGTGTCTTGAAGATATTTTTCTTAAAGCTAGATAAAGAAACATAGTTAATAACCTTACATGTGTATAATATACATAAAGTAGCACTACTCCAGTAATAGAGATAGCATAATTGAAGACAGATGCACCTAACAGTGCAGCGTACCTAAAAGCATATATTTCATAACAAAAACACCTGCGTTGCATGATTAAACATTAAAGTGGCCACAAAAATGATCTTTACCATCCTTTTGATTCGGTTTCCTCATAATTTCCTACCCAAGCATCAGCCCAAGAATGGGCAAAATCAACAATTAGAATTAGCTGAATAATTATAAAAAGGAAACCTCCTAACATCCCAAAATACATCCAAGTAGAGCCGAATGATCTTTCCGGGATGAAGAAAGCGCCAATGATTCCACCAATTATCAAAAGATACTTGATTGCCCAGAATCTGACAATTTCACATAAACATCACTAGTCAGTTTTAAAACGCCACACTGCAATATGTGTCAATTTAATTTACCCATTTTGTATAGCTGCCCGTGGATCGTGTGAACTTTTTACCCTGATCATTATTACAGACATCAAGAAAAAGTACAAGGAAAGAATGAAGCATATTCTATAGACAGCTAAATAACCGACTGCAGACTCACAGTTGAGAGTGACCTCTGATGGAACATAATTAGAGGAGCTGTTTGCACAGAACGGGACCTGTGTTTGAAAAATCGCAGTATTAACGCGCTTCTACTTTATTTCAGATTGATCGCGTTCAGCAGAATATTTATTTTGGGAGTGCTTATTGGATTATACTTTTAGATTTAGAGGAACAGTCTTATCTCGGTAAAGAGAATTTCCAACAGTTGAAAAATAAACATTCTGCTGAATATGTAATCATTGTTTCTGATGTTACCTTTTTAAGAGCATTTTGGAGACCAGGAGCCAGAGTAATACAGGCTGCAATAGTTCCCAGCAACAAGAGCAGCGCATACATGATGCGAGTGCTTGTGCTGTTCCTGCACGAGGGACATTGAGAGCAGCAGAAGCTGCAAGCTGTGCTTCCGCACAAGCACGCAAGCTATATGATAAAAGAGAGCCATGTAGAGCCCAAATAATTCATAAATTAATAAAACAAAAATATACAGTAGTAAACATTTCATATATGTATAATCCAGTCTTACATTTTGACAGTGTTAAAATATTTCTATCTTGCCATGAGGAAATCTTTAAAAATAGCACTGACATACTATGTTTTCTTAATATATATGTATATTAAAATCAATAATAGACATATATGTATAATCAAATAACAAATATGATGACATAAGTAGATATTCAATGACTCATTCAAATCTCTGAAAGATTTTTTACACACCCAAAGAATATTAAATTAAAATTGGTTCAATTGTGTTAAAAGAAAGAGTTAAGTGTAATATGTCTTTATTCGCAGAGGCAATAAAACAAACATAACTGCGTGACAATCCCAGGGATCAACAATGGAATACAACTGTAATCGCAGCATAATTATAATAAAGCACTGCTACGAATAATCTCGACAGAAAGTACATTATTAGTTTCGGTAAACAAAGAGGAAAACGGAAAGAAGAAAGATCTACGTTACTAAGAAGGATGAGACGGATATGCGATAGTCATCTTATCTCCGAGCCATACCTGAGCCGTTGAGCACACGAGACCCATGGCGATTTTCTCCGGGCTATCGAGGGAGAACGGGGCAAAATGTCTCGGGAAACGAGACTGGAAGAGACTCGGAAACTGGAGGCGACCGAAATAGACTGAATAGAACGGGTCGTGGTCGTCGTGGAAAACAAGAAACGCCACGGGGAGGCGCAACAACAATAGACGAACTGACACTGCTGCTTGCAGGCAACTTCACGCGATCAGCTGACCGCGACGTCATCAGAACCAGGCAGAACGTCACAACTCGCCGCCTCGCGGCGCACTTCGCGTGGCTCCGACCGCTCCGACGTCAATTGATTGGTCGAACGCACGGCGGCGGCGACAGGCGACTCGTCAACAGTACTACAGTGCTGGCAGCTTCTGGCCAGCGCAGCACAGTTCGGCATTCGGTCACGGTGTCCCGCAATCATGCGCGTGTTCGCGCGTTGTCATCACCGCTAAAAAAAAACAAGGAGGAAACACAGAACTGGACGGAATACGCACACGCCGATGCTGCAAGTGTAAGCGACTACTGCCTAGAATTACCGCAAACGAAGCTGACACTGCACGCTCGTTGTCTAATTGTCGCACAATGCCTAAACACATTAATCCTAATGGCAATTGAATTTTCCTGAAACGAAGCTTCACAGCATGCAAGATGTAGCTATAATTGACGTGTACTCGATACCGGGGTGTCGGCCACTCGAGGCCTGTCAGAGCCGAAGGGCTAACAATATATAAGCTTGACCTGAGACGCCAGCGAGAATCTCTGTTATGATAATATATTAATAAAATATATGCAGACGTGGTTTTAATTCTGTCTCATATACTCGGTCGATTTAGCGAGGAGGTATATTCGCATTGATTTGCATTGATTTGCATTTTTAATACGATACACAACGTTACGTATCACGTTTCTAACTTTGGTCATGAATGCGGATGAATGCGGATGTAAATCTTATATTGCATGTACCGATATTATATCAATTATTTTAAAAATTTAACGACCTCATACAGCCTTTCCTTATGAGATCTCATTTTTTTCTGACGAAAGTTTCTAAACATATTGTTTGTCTGACAATTTTTTTCTACACAGAAAATTAGTAGCTCATTAGCCAATAACAGTATAATTGAAAACAATGTTTATTCAATAACAGAATTATGTTTTAATAAAATAAAAAACATTTTATGAAAACAAGAGTATAGCATATTTGTTTCATTAATACTGTCATTGAATTAGTAAGATTGTTTTCAATTAAACTGTTAGCTATGTATAACAGCTACTGCTATTAATACATTTTTTCCATGTAAAAAACTTTCTATAATTCGGTCACTCAAACTACACTAGATTAATTCGCATTAAAGGCTGCTTTATATAAAATATCTAAATGCCGCGGCATAATACTTTGACAACGAAATAATACATGTATATTCTGTTAAATAACAACATTATTAGGTATCTGTTTAAAATATTTATATGGTTTGCTATTCATGTATAGTAGCTTTGAGTATGCACTAATAAAAAGCTTATTCTTTATTGAACTATTTAAACTAGCGCATACACAATAAGTTGAAGTTTGAAACACACTAAATTTGTTTCACTTAAATTTATTCCACATCAATATGTACGAGTTCAGAAAGTTCATCGATGAAGAATAGACTATAATTTAACACACGTGATTGAATTCGCTATAAAAAAAATTTTGCAATTCTTAGCGCTTTATATTTTTTTTTATAAATGATATCTAATGACTACGGAGACATACATGCAATTCATTTTGCAATTTAATATACATAGTTCTTACATTTTTATTTCTGATTTCAATTTCTTTTATTAGTATACAGATTTATGAAAATGTTGTACACAGAATTAATTGACAGAAAATAACTTTTTTTGAAGTATTGAGAAATTTTTCCATTATAAAAATTTTTGCAAGGAAAGTTTATCATCCGTATATACTTATAACAATTTATTACATTAAATATCTCCGCTTTATTAAGCACCTTTTTCGATCTTAAAATTATATATTTTTTTAAATGTGTTCTGAAAACGAAAGTAGATTTTGTTCTCATTCCTTCTGGAATTCAATTCATTATATTGGATGTCACGGATGTGTTTCACTTTCTGTCGCCTTTAATTCTCGGTTACAGACTTCTATGAATATTTTTAAATATGCACACTAAAATGAACCGTACTGTAATCTGCATATTTCGCCGCACAAGATTGAGCTATGTTTAGATTTTGAATAAACGACTGTTTCACGAGAAACGAGAGCAGAATGCGGCCAGTTCTACTCCTTCGTATATGGATGATTGATTTTCATAATGGTCACAAATGCGTGGGTTACACTTTTGTCAACAATTATAAAAGCTCATAAATGTTATCGTTATGAATCATTCTTCCCACGACATTTCGCTATGAAAAACACGAGATATGACTTGGTCGTTGTGGCTCATTAAAATGCTCAGCTAAAAAAGAATTCATTTCTCACGTTCACTGGCTTTAATAACTTTTATGCACGCGTGTCGCAGTACAGTTATTTATGCTTGTCGTATTGTTTTAAAGATGAGAGTCAGATTAGTCATTTTATGCAACGTCGTACACATTACACCTACGAAGCTCTCGGAATTCTTTCACCGTCAAGATTTACTTGTCAATTTTTTGCAACATGCGTACATAAAATTTATTAAAGAAACAATAAAAAATCCATGGAAGGAGTTAATAGATAATAATAATCTCGACAAGATACAACAAATAATATTTCCTACAAATGTAAACACAAGTGCGATAAGAAAAATTTCGCAACCTGTAAACCGAAAAGACTAAAAATACGGCTATAATAATTATATTATAGCCGTATTTTTAGTCTTTTCAGTTTACAGATTTGTAAAAAGTATTATACATAGAATTAACTATCAGAAAATAATCATTTTTTCAAAAACTTGCACAAAAAGCCTATCATCCACAGCAACTTTAGAATTTATTAAATATTTCCGTTGTTTTTAGATTATATTTCATAGTATGTAAAAAGTAATATATATATATATA